CCTTGTTTTTCAAAGTCTTATGAGGTTACGTTCTCCATAAATGATCCTTTGTAGATGTGAATTTTCTAGAGAAAGGCTATGTACAGAGTGGCTACCACTTACAGCTTTGGGCCTGGAGCACGTGCGTTTCCATTCATTCTCAACGATGCCAGCTACCACAAGTTCCTGGAGGAAGGCAAAGATCAGCATCACTGACAAAGTGCCCTGAAAAACAACAGAAGAATGAAGGTGAAAATGCAGTCACGACACAAAGAACATGGTTGGTGTTCAGGAAATTACTTTTGGCTAAATTAGATGATTAAAAGATTAATTCTTTAGGTAAGTAATGACTAGCTGTGAGAACTGCTAGCCTAGAAGATGATGTCTTTATAACCTTAACCTTTAATACAACTTCTGGCACACAACAGATGGTTAATGCATGGTGCTGACAGAAAGTAAGGTAGGAATAATCAGTTGGAGAATCAATTCTATGTAGGAAATAATCACTACTGAGTCCCGAATTAAACCGTATCCAGATTTAGGTGATATGGCATCACACCATGAAAACCTCTCCACATTTGGGAAATGCATTTTTTCCCCTTCAAATTCTACACTAAAAACTCTGAGCAAAAGATGTTCAAAACATCTCAGGTATTTCCTCCCTGTTTATCTTAATAACAATGATAGGATAATAATGCTGTTAATGCTATTAATAATAACATTAAAGAAATGCTTGTATCATACTTCCTGTGTACCAGACACTCTTTTAAGTACTTTGCGGACATTAACTCATTTATTCCTCAAAACAATCCTACGAGTGTTACCATCCCCACGTTATAGTTGGAGAAATTGAGGCAGAATGTGGTTGAAGTTCTTGCCCAAAGCTACATAGGCAATAAGTAGCAAACCCAGAAAGTCTGGATCTGGAGTTGATGCTCATAATAAAAATGCCTTCCTTCTTCCCTGGAAAGAAATCCAGTTTCACACTTACCAAAAACACAGATTGTATGGTGTAACAGTATTGCATAGATGGAGAACTTTTCTCAGAGGACCCAGCTGGTTCACAGTTGTATATGTTAATATATGGCATGGGAACTTTAATAAGATTCTGACTCTCCATTTTTAAAAAATGGGAGATTTTAATGTTAAGTATGTCCATGATTGAAAGAATCATTCCAGAAATGGCAGCAAAGAGGCTCAATGAGTTCATTATCATTTTTCCTTTGGCCTGAAATAGAGATAAAGATTTACTAATTAGATTTGATTTCCATGGATGATATAAGTTAGGAAGGAATTCCAGATGACATTCCCCTGACTCACAAAGGTACTACACCTAAATCATACTAAAGTTCTTCTCTCAGTTGTTTTTAGCCTCGTGATCACTATAAAATAAAATCACCTCTCTGTTCTGTTCCTTTCTCAGTCCTCCCCATCTCAGTTTATGTCATCACCATCGATTAATTTTATCAAGCCATAATTCTAGGAGTGATCCTTAATTCTTATATCTTGTATCCTTGCATTTTCTTCACTGTGACTGCCATCATCCTAGTAGGCATTCAATAAATATTTGTTGCATGAGTGAAGAAAAATCATATCCAGATTGTCTGTCTTCATAAGAAGATAGAGTGGAGAGAGAAAAGGAGATTCTTACATGAGACTTAAGTGGGGTGGTACTGTGGGTATAGGTTAGGAAGGTGCAGATAGAACCCTCTAGGTCTGCACCATCAAATGAAAATAAAAACCAACAGCAATGATAACAATATTTTCCCCATTGACACAGGTTGCAATCAGCCAAAGTCAACCATCTTTCAAAATACATTTAGGACTCATGTCTCTGGATAGCATAGGTAAGAAAATGTCAGTGTGAATGTACCTTACAGGAATGATAAAAAGTTGAAGCAGGAAAATACATATAACAAGTGCCATAATGATATGGAATTATTGATGATTATTTTATGACACACATATTTCGTCTCCAGCTATTTGACCTTCAGATGGTAAGTCAGTAGGTCTGGATATATTTGGAGAATAGAGTCAGTTGATTTTCCTAAACAGTTTTTTCCCCCAAAACTGAGTTTGTCAGACCACTTTTAGGAGGAATCATCTCAATCCACTCAGTCCCTCACTGACTTTGAAAGTGAATCACCATAGTAAGTAAAAGAAACTGTTGGGGGAGGATTTTCATGGGAGGGAATTTTCTGGAAGCTCTGTTTCACCTACATAGAATTGCCAGCACAGCCTCTTACTGAGTATAGATGAGCCCCTGGGAGTTAAGTGAGCAAGACCACTTCTAGCTTCTTATAGCCTCTGAAACACTGCCACTCACATAACTCCTTGTCATCCTCATGCTAGTTTCATAGTTTCACATTAGGTAGCAAGGACTATTACCTCCATTTTATAGTTGAAAAACTCAAAGGTACATAGAGGTAAACTGACATGTTCAAGGTTACAGCTAAAAATTAGCTTAGTTAGAGTGTGAATCAATCACAACATTGATCAGACAACTTTCCTAAAGGTGGTCTGGAGAAATGACATGGCTTTCAAAAATGTCTGTTATTTTCACACAGTATTTAACATTCACAAGACTGTAAGTACAGTCTTCACAGGTCTGCCTTTAGTTCTGTTTCCATAACATACTTCAGGAAGATGTCACTTCCAAATTTTTCATGAATAAAATCACAACAGCACTGTGGAGGAAACGTTTGCCTTTTTAGGGTTGAGAGTCTGTGATTCCAAGGCTCTTTAAGGGTCCCTGGGAGTTTACAACTGAGAAAATAGGTATTTCTCTGATGTGGAGAAAGAAGAACATATGGTTACTTGCCAAACTCTTCCTGGAGTTTTTCTCTGCTGCTGCCAGGAGTGATCCAGAAATAATGTACTGTAAAAAGAGAAGTAATGGATGAAGGGGTGTGGGCGAGGTAGGAGAAAGGGGAAAGAGGGGGGTCATTTCTTAACATCGAGAGCTGGTCAGAAAGAAGCCATCTACAGTTTCAGCCACTTTCACTAAACTACCCACCCATTTTTATCAGGTTCATGAATTTTTCAGCAGTCATGTTTCTCCTTTTTCAGGCTCAAATATATTCAATTCATGCCTTTTACTCGACCCTCTGGGGTGCTATGACTAGGAATACAATAAGGCCAAAGAAACAGAACCCCTATTTCCTTGTCAATTAATACTCACAGTGTGAATTTAAAGGTTTTATTTTTAGTTTTTCTTTCTTTTTACTTTGAATTTGTGGAAATGCTCTTTGGGAGTCACAGTGATTTAGATGACTTTGATGCCAACAAAGAGTGAGTCGATGTAGAATACTTGACCTTAATGTCATAGACACACGTTGGCTGCTACAGGAAGTGACAATTATTTCTCTTCTTCCTTTTCTAATGTTTAAGTGGCAGAGTGGAGAAAATTCTTGTTCTAACCCTTCTCTCCTTGTTCTGAAAATTTCAATCCTGGACTCATCTTTATAGTAGCAACTATGAAAAGTGTCATGGGGAAAATAAACATCACTGCCCCATGCCACACCCAGACAGGGTTACAAGTTTAGAAAACTTGCACATGAAACAGCCATAGTAACTAAACAGAATTGTATGGTAGAAGGAGCAGGAGGGAGAAAGTGGGATGTTCCCACTCCCTCTTGCATTCCAAAACATCATACCATACCGTCCAAATATCCGGTGACTCCCTCCCCACCAAAATTCACTGTGGAGGGGTCC